TCGCCGGTGTTCGGCGCAGCCAGGACTGGGTTTGTTGCCAATATGGCTTTTATTTCATCGAGTCCGGCCGTGGCGGCCTCCATCCACTCGAAGTGTTTGGTGCGCCGAAGGAGGCGATAGAGGGGTAGTGCCTTTTCTCCCAAGCGGGAGATGAAGCGGCTTAAAGCCGCCACGCATCCGGTTAATTTTTGTATTTGTTTGAGGTCCCTTGGGACATTCAATTGTGACAAAGCTCGGATCTTGGCTGGGTTTGCTTCAATTCCTCTACCGGATACAATGAAGCCCAAGAGCTTTCCGGCTGGAACGCCGAAGACGCATTTTTCTGGATTGAGCTTGATGTCATATTGTCGGAGGTTATCGAATGTAAGCCTCAAGTCGTTTACTAGGGATTCGACATGCCTTGATTTGACAACCACATCATCCACATACGCCTCCACTGTTTTGCCGATCTGCTTTGCCAGACATGTTTGGATCATGTGCTGATATGTTACGCCGGCGTTTTTCAGCCCGAAGGGCATTGTGTTGAAGCAGAATGGGCCGTATGGAGTGATAAATGCTGTTGCAGCTTGGTCTGATTCTGCCATCTTGATTTGATGGTAACCGGAGTATGCGTCGAGGAAACACAACGAATCGTGTCCTGCGGTGGCATCGATAATTTGATCGATACGGGGGAGGGGGAAGGGATCCTTTGGGCAAGCCTTGTTAAGGTCTTTAAAATCGACACACAGGCGCCAGGATTTGTCCTTCTTTGGTACCATCACCAGGTTTGCTAGCCAGTCCGGATGTTTTATTTCTCTAATGAATCCGGCCTCCAATAGCTTGGCTAGCTCCTCTCCCATAGCCTGTCTCTTGGGTTCGGAAAAACGCCGAAGGGCTTGTTTGACAGGTTTGAATCCTTTTAGGATATTTAAGCTGTGTTCGGCCAACCTGCGTGGGATCCCTGGCATGTCTGAAGGGTGCCAGGCGAAAATGTCCCAGTTCTCTCGTAGGAACTCTCGCAGTGCGGCGTCTACATCAGGGTTCAGTCGTGCCCCGATGGAATCTGTTTTATTGGGGTCCGTTGGATGGACCTGGAATTTGACTATTTCGTCTGCTGGCTTGAAGGATGTGGATTTGGATCTCTTGTCGAGTATCACATCATCCCTGTTAACCGTGGAGCGCAGCGCAGTCAATTCCTTGGCCGCTAAGGCTTCGGATAGTGCCTCAAGGGCTAATGCGGCCGTCTTGTTTTCGGCGCGGAGTGCTATGTCCGGATCACTAGCTAGAGTGATAATTCCATTCGGCCCGGGCATCCTAAGCTTCATGTACCCGTAATGGGGTATTGCTTGGAAGATTGTGAATGCTTCCCGGCCTAGTAAAGCGTGATGTCCGCTCTTAAACGGGGCCACCTGAAACGTGACTTCTTCGGACCTGTAATTATCCGGCGTGCCGAACATCACATCTAGTGTGATTTTTCCTGTGCAGCGCGCTTCCCGACTGGGGATTATTCCTCTAAAGGTTGTGCTGCTTCGCTCGATGCGGTTCCAGTCTATTTCCATTTTTTGAAGGGTTTCCTCATAAATGAGGTTCAGTCTGCTGCCTCCATCCATGAGCACCTTGGTGAGGCGAAAGCCGTCCACTATGGGACTGAGGACCAATGCGGCTGGTGCTCGGGCTGTTCGGAATCTAGGTTCATCACTTGCATTGAAGGTAATGGCAGTGTCGCTCCATGGATTTATTGTTGCAACTTGATAGACTTCGGCGAAGCTGTGGAGTGTTCTTTTTCGCATATTGTTTGATGCGAAAGTCTCGAAGACTGTGAGAACGGTACTGGTGTCCTCGGGCTGGCTTTCTGCGGCCTCCAGGATTAAGAGGTCCTCGCCGATTTTGGCCACCTGCCGGAGTATCCAACATGCTCTAAGGCTGTGAGTTGGTGTGGCGTCCTCTGTACTATGAATCTACAGGGTCCATCAAGCCACCTTTCCAGTACGGTTCCATGCCCTGTAGAGGGTTTTGGCTTTTTGGTGTTTATCCCGGGTGTCCTATGATGATGCACCCTCTTAGTTCGGACGGGATTACTATTCAAGGCCGGATTGTCCCAAAATTTTATTTCGGTTTTCCAGGCGCTTTCCATCGCACAATATTTTTGTACTATGGACGCCAAGTCAGCAAAGCGTGTAATATCACGACGACTTACGGCGTTAAGGATTCCCTCGTCCGTGCAATTACTGCAAAAAATAGAGATTGCGTCTCCCTCGCGGCAATTCTTTATCCTGTTCATAACCAGGAGGAATCTGGCCCAGTAATGATGTACTGTTTCCTCGGGCCTCTGCCTGATTTGGGAGAGATCGCTTATGTTCGGGTGGGCGGGTGTCGTTGAGTCTGAAACCTCACCCAATCCAAGATTCGGAGGCCGAAGAGTTTCCGAACTCTGAAGTTCAGATGCTTGGATGTTGTCCAACGAATCTAGCCCGTTGCCTGATCCTAAGCTTAGGTCTTGAGTTACATCCTCCTCTCCGCGGGTATCCAGCTTGGATGAGTCGGGAATTCAGACGTAGCTAGTCCTTAAAATAGATGAAGGGTCGCCGCACTGCGCCTCTACCACGGCAACGTGGTGGGTGACTTGGGGAGAGTTAATTTCTCTTATGTCGGGTTTAAGCCCAACCTGGTCGTAATCCGTAGCGACCCCCACGGCGGCGATGCGATCAAAGAGCTCGTTTACGAAAGAGAGCTCCATTGGATCTATCTGCTCGACGAGCTCCGAGCTGACGTGTAAGTTGCTTTTGATGACCCGAGAGGTCATCGTCGGTGCAACAGCCGAACAGGTGGTCATGAAGAAACCACCTAGCCGGAGGGTTTGGCCGACAGCCAAGGTTCCCTTAGCAACGGCGTCGTCTTTAAAGACGGGAGGAGGCATCCTTCCTGATTGTGACGGCACAGAGGACTCTCAATGAAAGCACCAATGTCGGTGTCAAAACTGGCGGATCTCGGATAGGGGGTCCCGAACTGTGCGTCTAGGCCGAATGGTAACAGGAGGCAGGGAACACTTTGTTTTACCCAGGTTCGGGCTCTCTCGATGGAGGTAATACCCTACTCCTGCTTGATTAATATTGATGATATGGGTAGTACAAGAGTAGATCTATCACGAGATCAAGGAGGCTAAACCCTAGAAGCTAGCCTATGGTATGATTGTTGTGTATGGAGTTGATTGCCTACGGACTACAACCCTCCGGTTTATATAGACACCGGATAGGGTTAGGGTTACATGGAGTCGGTTACAATGGTAGGAGATCTTGAATATCCGCATCGCCAAGCTTGCCTTCCACGCCAAGGAAAGTACCATCCGGACACGGGACGAAGTCTTCAATCTTGTACTTCATAGTCCAGGAGTCCGGCTGAAGGTATAGTCCGACTATCCGAACACCCCCTAATCCAGGACTCCCTCACACACCTTAAAAGAATAGCACCGAAAAGTTTGAAATAAATGTAAGAAAATGCCATCCCCCGTGCCAAATTTAGGACTTGAAGATGGGTGGACAGAATCCACCATAAGGAACCTAGTCATGCGAGCTGTGCTCAGTTCGCCGCATGACATTATGTGTCATTTCGTTCACACAGTTCTAAAAACGCAGGAAAAAAACACAAGAATCGGATATTGATTGCATATGTAAAGCAGAGGACTGGAAAACATAGAAATTTTGTAGGCTCAGGCGTTTGGTTCACATGAATCCTAATAAACATAGTCAAATGAAATCGAACCACATGAAAAGGGTGTAATTAGCATGTTATTGCGCCACTAAGGATCTCAGTCTTATTCTTCGTGCGTAGAATTCCGAAAAAGAGGTCCTAATGGATTAAAAAATTCCTGCGTTTTTCCTTTGAATCCGAGACCACATAATTTTTTTCTTCACTTGTACTTTGCTACATTTCTTTGAACCAAAGGCCTGAACAGTCCCATCATAGTTTTTTCCCCCTGTTTTTATGCGTTTCTTTCACTTTTCCTTTGAACCAGTCAAAAGAGGCCTTAAAATGCTTTCTGAATAACTTATGGCACATCTAGATATACTTTAGCAAAACTGTATTTAATCAACGGCCTTGATGACGCCACATGCATGCTATCTGCTTGCTCTTACTACCCACCGCACCAGCCACCAGAGCGTTTATTACTCGAGGAGTCGTCAGGCAGGATCACATCATCAACAACTCCTGTTTCGTACTCCATCCTATCCGTCCGTCCGTCCGCTCGGCCTCCAGACTCCAGACTCGAGGGAGTCCAGGGGCAGAACGGTCACTCGGCACGGGCACCCCCCTACAAAGCTGGTCTCCTTTTAAAGCCCGCGGTGGCAGACCTCCCTACCCCTGTGACAGAGGAGAAAACAGAGGCGCCCGGCCCCGCCCCGACACAGCGCGACCGAAGCCGCCAGGACACAAACCACCGCCCCGCCTGCCTCCTCCCTCTCCTCCCCGGCGCCAGCCGCCGCCTCCGTCCTCCTCCTCGTCGTCGTCTCCTCCTACCCCCGAAAAGGTAGGTCTCCTCGCCTCCGCCGCACTCGTTCGTTCGAGAGGGCGGTTCTTGGTCGGACACTCCGGGGAGCAACATGCGGCGAGGCTGTCGGTCCGGCGCGGCCTCTTTTCTGGGCGCTGCTTGGCCGGACATGGCAGCCGCGGAGTTTAGGAAGTTGTTTAGGATCTTTGCTGCCCTCGCCGGATCTCGAGCCTAGGAGGGGTTTGGGCGTTCCGTTTGCCGCCTCTTTTTCCTGGCCTGAATTTTCTTCTTCTTTACTCCGGTCGCCGTTACTGCGCGCTCCGCCTTGACCCCCGGCTCCTGCTCTGCTCGTACGCTGCTGTTGCCAGTAGTTAGCTTCCATGGCGTCTCTGCGCTGTGCTTATGCTATTTTTGAGCCGTGTTGTTTTTATTTACCGTTGCTGATGTTTTTCTTGTTTGAAGTTCAGGCTGAGATCGCCGGTTCGCGGGCCATTTGATTTTGGCGCGCGGTTTCTACTTTCTAGCCGTGCTTCCCATGGCCGGGTCCATCGCGGCCGCGGCCTTCTTCCCGGGGCCGCCGGGGCCGCCGCCGCCGCCCAAGAGCGCCCTGGGCGAGCGTCCGGACAGCCTGGACGTCCGCGGCATCGCCGCGAGGCAGGCCTCGTCGTCCTCCGCCGTGAGGGCCGCCAGGACGCGCGCCCACGCGGCCGTCCCCAAGGTGAACGGCGGCGGCAAGTCGGCGCTGGCGGACGCGGAGCACGACGCCATGCCCTCGGCGGCGCAGCCGAGGACGTTCTACAACCAGCTGCCCGACTGGAGCATGCTCCTCGCGGCCATCACCACCATCTTCCTGGCCGCCGAGAAGCAGTGGACGCTGCTCGACTGGAAGCCCAAGCGGCCCGACATGCTCGTCGACACGCTGGGCTTCGGCACCATCGTACACGACGGCGTCATGTTCAGGCAGAACTTCTCCATCAGGTCCTACGAGATTGGGGCTGACCGGACGGCGTCCATTGAGACGCTCATGAACCATCTGCAGGTGAGTTAACCGCCGCGATTTTCGAGGCGTCATAAGACTGCTCTATCTGGTCACTGGGCACTGACATAACATATTTCTTGGTCTGACGACGCAGGAAACTGCACTCAATCATGTGAAGGTCGTTGGGCTGCTAGGAGATGGCTTCGGTTCGACGCCGGAGATGAGTAAACGGAACTTGTTCTGGGTTGTCAGCCAAATGCAGGCCATCGTCGAGCGTTATCCATGCTGGTATATCTCACACACCAGCATTTCCCTATATAATTTGAGCTTGAGTAGGTTTTACAATAATCTTGGAACGATCGGTGCAGTTAAGGGTGGTTTTCGAGTGGTTTAACAAATGAATGTGAAAGGGATACATCATGACACTCTGCTTTAAGTCATAACTATTAGGTCAGCAATTCCCATCTGTCACCGTGCGTGCAGGCAGAGCAGACTTTCAGTAGTAATTGATGCAGAGAGGCCTTCTTTGAATCTCTTAATGTCATGTGTTATATTTATTGGCAGATGTTCAAAAGGGTTTTACTTTTGTTAGCTGGAAGTTGCATGTCGCCAGCAAGAGTTACTTTCCTATTGTTTTAATTCGGGTTTCATTGCTCTGCAGGGGTGATACTGTTGAGGTGAACACCTGGGTTGGCCATCATGGTAAAAACGGGATGCGTCGGGACTGGCATATACGTGATTCTGTGACGGGCCTTACAGTACTGAAGGCGACAAGGTTCAAATTTTATTCACTCATAGATAACAAAATCACAAATCCTTTTAGTATTAGCTAATGCTGCTCGGATTTGTTTTTCATCTGCCCCACATATTCACAGAGTCACAGTTTCGACATGCCGCTGTCATCTATGCATTCTAATTTTCGTTAAATTTGCAGTAAATGGGTTATGATGAACAAGGTTACTAGAAGGCTTGCAAGAATTCCAGATGAAGTACGGACTGAAATAGAGCCGTTCTTTTCTGAGTATGCTGCTATTGATGACCAAGACAACCGAAAATTTCCAATACTGCCGGAGCATGACCGTGCTACCTCAGCCAAATATGTCCGGACAGGCCTGACTGTAAGTTTTCCACACACACATACAAGAATTCAAATATATTCTATCTTCTTACGCTGTTTACTTATTATCACATATATGATGCAGCCACGGTGGGCTGATCTTGATATCAATCAGCATGTCAATAATGTTAAATACATTGGCTGGATCCTTGAGGTAAAAGACAAAGTTTCCCTTTCATGTGCATCTTTATTCATCACTGAGACACACACATTTGCTTCTTTATTTGTACTGTAGTTGAGTGTGCTACGTTCAGAAGCTGTTTTGATTTAATCTTGTATCTGTGAACACTCCATGGAGGTTGCCTAGTGCTTTCTGCTGTCAATTAAGTTGTCCTGTGGTGGACCATACCCTTGTGTAGTTGTGTGGGTGCACATAAAGTGCTGTTAATGCCTACACTTCTCAAACAAATGATTTACTACCACGTTTTATTTCCTACTCCCTCCGTCCCACAACGTAAGACGTCTTTGCAAGTTGTTTTAGCTTGCAAAAAGGTCTTACATTGTGGGATGGAGGGAATATGTGTTTGTTGCTAGAATTTTAGGAGCCAACTGTTTTTAAAAAGTTAAAAAACACTGGAACTCTAGGTGCTTGAGGGGCTCAAAGTCAGTCTAACTATAATTGGACTTTACAGGAAAACTATATAACATAGCACCTTGCCAAATATCCCAGATCGCGCCTACGCTACTACTAGCGTGTGCACTTACCTATTCCCAACATAAGCAATCGTTATCCCCAGCTTTTCAAAGTATAGGTTGGAGAAGAAATGTATTTTCTGATAAGTTAACTATGTTAGGTTGGTCACCTAGGTACCTAATAACCATGTTGCTCACTTGTGTTGCTTTCGTAAAAGATCTTGACTGGAATCCTTTAATACAACTTGTCTGCATGCCATTCGTTCGTTTTTTTTCTGTCAAAGAACTTGTGCATCAAGACAATGGCCATGTGTCTGATTGATAATATGCATGTGTCGCGTGATAACCATATCATTCGTTGGAGGATTACAAATTCGGAAACAAAGAATAATCATTTGGTAATTGGCCTGCAAACCGCGAACAAGTGAAACAGACCTAAAACCGCAGAAAAGAAATGAGGAAAGTTGACATTTAATTAGTGCGTGCTATACTGAAATATATCGATACATTTGCAGCACTGCAGCTTAACCCAAATTTCTTTTTTCCCCCTCTCAGAGCGCGCCAATCTCCATCCTGGAGAACCATGAACTGGCGAGCATAGTCCTGGACTACAAACGGGAGTGCGGCCGGAACAGCGTCCTGGAGTCGCACACCACGGTGCACACCGACTGCGCCGACGAGTCCGGAGAAACAACTCTGCACTGCGAGCATCTGCTGAGCCTGGAGTCAGGACCGACCATCGTGAAGGCCCGGACCATGTGGCGGCCAAAGGGGGCCAAGTCCCAGGAAACGGCGGCTCTGTCGTGGTGATTTTCGGCGGGGACGGTTCGGTCAAGCCCGGAGCAACCACCCGTACGCGTTCTCTTCTGGAAAAAATCACACATTGCACATACATATGGATGCCTATAATCCCATCATGGCATTGCAAAGGGATGCCCAAGTTATATACATATACATAGAATGGAAGTGTGTGAAGGTGGAGGGGGTCAGAGGGGTATAGGAGAGCGATCAGAAGCCGAGAAGGCAAATTGGTGTTGTAATTATCTGAGTTTGTAGCTACTGCGGTGTGATGGGAGGTGAATGCTTCCCACACCACACCTGGGGTCTGTCTGTCTGTCTGTCTGTCTGGGGCTGTGTCTATATTACGAGCCCCTGAAGGCAGCCTGCTTTATACTTACTGAACTTTAAGATCGTATATTGTATTGATTTTATTGTAAATGTGAGATCGGCTCCTTCTCTCCTGGTTGTTGCCGAAACGTGTTGAAACTTGAGATCCTGGGTCTTGAGCTGTCCAGCCTTGAGATGGTGCGGCTGCTAAATGCTTTCAAGAGTTGCCTCGACCTGCCTGCGTAGTTGGAGCAGGCAAGGCAGGCAGCTTGACGTGAGCAATGGCGGGCTCAGCTTATTTTATCGGGGTTGACACATCAAATCTGAAAAGCAATTTCTGTGCAAGAACATGCGGACTCCTAAGGGCTCATCTGGTTCAAAGGAATAGGAAATTTTCCTATAATAATGTTACTATTCATGTCTTTGGTTCGAAGAAATGGGGCGAAGGAAAATTGGAGGGAAAAACACCCAAGTTTTCCTTTGGCAATGTTCATTAGGATTACCTGTGTTTTCCAGTTCCAGTGAAACAAACAGCAAAGTTGACAGAATCCCTCCAAGACCGACATGTTTCTGGCCAGTAGGAGTACTTCAGATGCAGTTTCTCGGAGACTGTACTGTTGGCATGACAAGCCTTTTTGGTAGGCCATGCATGAACGGACCTGCAGATAGTATATAATTAAGGAACGTCTAGCTTTTCTTGCTTGTCAAGCTTCTGGAGCCGGAGCTTCTCGTGCAGCATTCAGCGGAATTATATTGTACTGCCTCTGTTGAGTGTTGACCAGCACAATCTAGCGTGGTCTGAGACCTGCAGGCGGCTTGTGGATCGAGTCAAGCGGACCTGGACACGTGAAAGTTATTATGCCGGGATGAGATGCTAAATGTGTCTTGTCACAAGGCCTTGTTGGTGGTGGTTGCAGTTTGGTTACCTAAGTTAATGAGGACAAACGAGGATTAATTGGTTGCGTGGAGTTCATGGTGGTGGATAAGCAAGGGTCAATGCTCTTTGATTGGCCCCTTGATGTGGATATGCCGTTGCCTCGATTTGATCTTTTCCGACGATTGATTCGCCGTGGAGAGGGATGGCCGGCGGAGGTCGTGCTCCCATGGATGCGCAAAAATAAGTGTCGCAAAGGTTCAGAGAGAGCAGTTGGCATTCCTTCGGAGTTCCGGCATTTTTGCACTTCGTAAATGCTCTCACCATTTCATCGGTGCGTCCTGCCATATTTACCATGTTTGTTTGAAAACCAAAACAATCAGTCACACCTTGCTTGCAGGAATTAACAACTCTACCTGGCAAGAGTATCCAAACCTCTGGACAGAAAGTTATGTAGGCTTGGCAAAGGGAATGAGTTACTGATCTCCCTCTTCCTAACACTCACCTGCCAAAAAAGGACACTGAACAACCACGCATATATATAAGCCAGTATCATCTTAATCCTGGTGTTCCTATCATCAGCTTAACCAATCAAGCTCAAGATGCCTGCTGGTTGCAAGACCATTTTCATGAGGATACTTCTCATCTCTTGCATTCTGCTCCCCCTTGGGTTTCTTTCTCTTGCACCGCCTCTACCCGCGGCTAGCTCGAGGAGCGCACGAACGTCTGGATACATTGTTATCACTGGTAATCTGCTGAAACTCTCTGTCTTATCATGATGCTTTCCGCAGCTTATGTAAGCTTTGACATGCTTTTGGCTATTAGGAGAGATTGTGCCGCCATGTTTTGCTTTGCATCATCAGCCTTCAAACAGTCGTAGAATACATACATTGTTACAAGTCATGCTGAGGTTACTGATTTTCTTGAATGAACTGATACTATTTACAGGTTGCAACAATTACTGCAGTGTGGCCTGCTGCTACTGTAACATCCACAGGTTTCCACCTGTTTGTGAAAAGTGCTGCAAGTAATATCAAGTCTGTAAAACCGTATCAGGATGTGTCTTCACTTTGCCCATCTTGGGAACAAGACAGGAGATACTCCCGGTGTGCTGTCTTGGCATGATTTTGTAGTAAATAGTACATCGGAAAGTCTAAGTTTTCAGTTGTGCTGTATGTTACTTTTCCAATAACACTGTTACGTTTGTTACTTTGAAGCAACATGATCTGAATATGACAATATCAGAGTATCAGACCCACCCATGGCAGTTCTAGTTAAATAACATACGGTTTCAGGTTCGGTATAAGCCAGAGTATCAGTAGCTCAAAAAGCATGGAAGATAACATGACACAAGTAAAACAGCTATCATTAGCTTAATTTCACCACCAAATGATTTGAGGACTACTTATCCACAGATAATACAGGCAGCAACTGAAGTAACCAACGAGTCCAGTAAGAACTAAAACAATCTATGATAGTGCTACATGTACAAATTGCAAATGAAAACTTTTGTTCAAGAGGAAGTATTACCCAATCTATATTTTTCTTTCTGAGTTGTCTCCGAAGCGCCAAAGTAAGCCTCCAATAATATTGTTTATGGAATGAGAAGCCATTGGGACTATGATGCTTGAGGAAGCTATGGTTGCTAAACCATAGGCAAGGCCTACAAATGTTGCCCTGCAAACACAAAAAAGATATTTCGATATAACAACGCACAATAGTAAATTTGGGTGGTAATACCCTGGTAATTGGCATGTTTTAAGAACTGCGAACAAACCTATGGACCTTACACTTTTTTTCAATTCTACTAGACATGTTTGAAAGTACAGCGGGGAGAACGGTTACCAGACTGCAAATGAATATTTCCTGCCGTTGCCCAAGTGAAGAACGCCGAAAAATACACCAGTTGCTAGAGCACTTATCCAATTCAATCCAAAAATTGGCATCAATGCACCTCGAAACAGGAACTCCTGATATCAAAATTAGACTTGAAGCTTTATTCTCGAGAAAATAAATATTCTTGAATAAAGTTTTAAAGAAACATATATGCTTACTTCGCTTATTCCAGGGAGACAAGCAACTACTATGTAATCCAGAGACTCCAGGGAAGTAAGGATCTACCAGGTAAGAATAAAACATTAGAAGTTAGTGTCTAAATAAGGGGACTTTCACTAGCTAATACCGTTTGGTAAGTTTGCCAAGGGCCCAGTTAATTTGAAAATGACATCACAGTCGCAAAAATAATAATTGAAAATGACATCAGAAAAGAGCGGAACTAATAAAAATAAGTCAGTTTATACAAAGCTACATAGATTGTGACTGGTAATTGTGTACGTGCAAGGCATGTATCGATTAATATAAATAAAATTTAATAAAACACAAGTCTTGTTGTCCATTGTATAATTCATGCAAATTCACAAGATCCTTTATGAAATCTTTAGGCAAATATGGAAGAAGCAATTGTAAGTAAATGAGACTATTCAAAGGCACATACCTGTGTATTTGCAGCTTCACTGGAATCTCTGAAATCGGGCCATGTCTGCAGCAGAATGTATCTGGTAGACGATATCAATATTACGAGTCCAGCGACCAACTCGAGATGCCAAGTTTCAAAATTGACTGCAGAAAAGCACTGGATCAGTTTGCTTGGGGACATTTGGCCGACTTAACACAGGGGTTACATGACATGTCGTTCATTTCGTAACAGAACAAGGAGCAAACTGACATGATATGGCTGTAGGGTCAGCAAATGGCAATCCATTTGAAGATGCAATGTGTGATGCCTGTAAAAGTCACAGTAGGACATTTTGATCACCAGAATGTTCTGCCATACTATAGAGTACTACTACAAACACAATGTTTTTGGGTTCAGAGTGCAATATTTTTATAGGCTAGTTTAGCCTGCAAAATGTAGCAGTACTACAAACACAATGTTTTACCTCACGAAGAAGGAGACCTGCTGCAAGCAGCAAGCCGGATGTGAGAGTGCAGGACCAACAGCACCCCTTGGGGCACCTGCAACTTTGCCATCACTAGTAGCATCACCATCGCCATCGAGACCGAGGATGGTGGCGGGGTTTTCGCCGTTGCTCGGAGAAGCTTCCTCGGCGATCAACGCTGGGCCTTTGGGCAGATTCCGGGCGCGCCTCCGTTTCCTCTCATTATTCTTTGTTGCAGATACTCTGAACACCTTCAGTGTTTATCAGGTAAGTAAGGTCTGGTAGTCACTGATAGATACACGGGGAACTTACTGAAACTTTTTGACGGTTCAGTGTGCAAGACGTACAGCGCGTGGGACTGAATGTGGCTGTTGGTAGGTAACAGCTGAGATCTGGCGTTTCCAACCTGTTCAAATATGATCTGCCAATGTAAGGACATCAAAATGATGATCGAATGCACATGTACATGATGGAATTAGGTGGCTGAAAAAGGAAGGTATATGCCAAGAAGACGGACGGAAGATTCCGGAGTAACCGGAAAAACAACTGCCAGGTGCGGATTTCATCCCAAGAACTTGAATCAGGGCAAGAAAAAGAGGGACATGGATGGTAGATTATGCACACCTTGGAGGGGCAGCGCGCTCGCTGCGAGCATCATCATCCGCAACGGATGGCCACGATTAAGCTCTAGGATTAGGGAGAGAGGAGACCGAGATTGGAGCCGGCTCCTCGTCGGCTAAGTTAGGCCATATCCACCACACAAAGCACATCTCGTCTGCTTACTACTAGGAGTACTTCTTGTTGCTGCTCACTCTGCGTCCTGCTTTTTTTTACTCCACACGTATGAGTGTCCAGGTCAGGGCTCATATCTGCTGCCAAGAGTTCAGACT